CGCTGCAATTGCTTCCAATGTATAGAGGGCTCAGCGCACATCCAAATATGGAGGTGGGAAATATGGCGCTTGCAGCGCACGACATTCCGATGGTTCACGCAATCGAAGCCTCTCAGACTCTTTCGGATCCGCACGCGCGACAGTTGGGTGAGGAGGATGCTAGGAGGTGGATTGCATACTGGCGCAAGGTGGGCTTGTTCACGGAGTAGAGATGAGTCAGTTAGAGGAATGGCAATAGGTTTATCATGCTGGTCTTGACTGGACGTGTTAAAAGAACACCGCGGAGTATGCTTAGTATGTACAAGTTGACTAGCACATGTGTACGTGTAAAATCGTGTAGAGTATTAAATTGGTGTATGTTGCTGAGAACTGAGGTGCGTACTGGCGCAAGGTGGACTTGTTCGCGCAGCAAGTTTGACTCAGCCATAAATTAATTTCAGTGATGATTGGAATGGAAGAAAGCACTCATGTTTCCCTTATCTTCACCGGTGAATGAATGCAAGGGAACTGACAGGAGTAACATAAGGAAGGTTAAGCTCGGAGACGCACATTTACAAATACAGGAATATGATAGTATGGCGCCGTGTCAATCTCAGCAGTGTGAAATGAAAAAAGTAACATTGAACGCATGCATGATATCATAGTATCGACTTAGATCAATATGGACCTTCATAATTTATCAAAGCTTGCTAAAATCGAAGATTGGAATCGAATCAGCAGAATATACACGCATATTTGAAGTATTCTTACGGTAAATCAACCAAGTGCTCGGTCTGGTTCCAATTTCCGACTTTAGTCTTCAGCACGATGTCCGCCCACAACTGGTTTGAGTGCATCAGCTTGAATGTAACCGATCCGCTAGCGATGAGGTGGACATCGACGTTTAAAGTGAGGCCATCCCCGATGTTGCCTTTTACCGACCCAAGCTCGATCTTTCCGAGGATAGGGACAATGAGGTGAACATCGACATCGACTTTAAGACTATGCACATCAACATTACCACCAATCTACGTAGGAGCAGGATCAAGGTGTGTTCATGGTAAGCTGCAGAACGTCTTACGTCAACGTGCCTGAATAGCAAGACATTAAAGGGTATGGCATTGGCATCTCTCGACACGCCGCGCACGGCGATCTTGTCGCTGTGGGAAATGTGTTCCAACAACCATTCCTTAAGTGCTAACGGAAATAGATCAGTTGAAATGAGAATCAATGATGAAGTACGACGAACAATCAACATGATCTTTAATAAAATGGTCGGCGCGGTCGACTTGAGGATGATCAACGTGACCATCTCCAGGAAGTACAATGGGATCTGGCTTGGTATGGACAATGGGATTTGCCTTGGGATGGACGGTGGGATCCACTTTGGGATGGTCGAGATGATTTTCCTTAGGATGGTCGCGGGTAGAAGCAGTAAGAGACATGTCGAGGGAGATGTGATTGTTGGATGGAATATGTGGAACGCGTTCTGTTATGGGATGATCCTCACCATCTCTGGCCGAGGCTTTTATCCTTGCATACGCGCCTCAGGCTACGGGTCGATGAGACTGAACGTGCACACATAACATAGCCCAAAACCACTAAGCGCATCATAGAGGTGAGTACGCCGATCCACCATCCCGATCGGAAGAGACCACGTAGTGTCAAATGTCCAATAATGTCAGTCGATTCTGCCTCCGCGGCACTGTCAAAGATCACGGGCATGAAGTAACCATTTCGCAAAATATCCCGGTAAGTCCTGTCTCTAGTAGACAGTTTCGTAAGCGAGTGCCTCAAGTACGAAGCTTGTTTCTAGAGGACTAGTTACCTAGAGATATCGCGAATGGCCCAAGTAAATCAACGATCGACAGCGTCTTCCCCGCCATCATCTTAAACGGATGAATACTATTTCCACAACAGCACAGCTTCGCGGACGTCTGAACGCTCTCTCCGAATCGCCCCCAAGTAAAGTTAGTGCTTGGCATTCCATGAAGAATTGTATACAGCTAGGTCTACAATAAATGGAGCCGATCTTGGCCGGATGATAGATTCCTACCGAAACAGCATGATCACCGTGGGGAACACAAAATGAGAGGAGCGTTCGGCGTGTGTACGCATCCGGTGGTGCCATATCTGTGTCCTTATGGCACGTCCCCCAATAGTAGGCCAATAAATCAGCATAATTCTATTTCAAAGTTTGTGTGAGACACAAGGCTCTACTTTTCTACTTTCTCAATAACACTTACTGAAGAATATTTTTGGACCACACGACTGAATAACAAAGAAGTGAGTGAGCGGGCGCGCGGGAAAACTCACGAGTTCCAACTCTGTCTCCTGCTCCTCCTGCTCCCCCGGCAACTCGCCCAATGTTGTTGAGGGTCTAGCGAGTGTCTAAGAGGGCTTGAACAACCAGATACCTCGTTGTGTGAGCGGGAAACATGTATTGGGACGCTGAGATGAATGCATCAGGACACTGCGCTTCTAGTAAGATAGTACAGAGGCGGGGAGGGCTAGGGAACGACGATGGTGGATGAAGACGTGGGTGTTGGTGGAGAACTCGAAGGTGGGTAATGTAGAGGCGGGCAACGACATTCTCGCGCGTCGCATAGACAGCCTCGCCGACAGGCTCGTATGAGGTACGTTAGTACAAGGGTGAATCAATTTGGTCGTGATCGTCTATCAGCTGTCCGAGATTGTATGTACTCTTGAAATGGTTCAACTCGACCACTGCTATGAACCAATCGCAAGTATCATGTCCCCGCGAGCCAACCCGAGATCGATTCACTCGACGGGGTATTCGAGGTCTCAGAAAAATCGGGCTTGGAACGCCATGCTGGTTGATGTCTGTGGCTGATCGAGCGCTCAGCGAGCATATCAGTTCCTGTTTCCATATGCTTCGGATTCTGAACGCCCGCCACGTCTCGGAGCTTTGAGCACAGCGTGAGCACATAAGCATCGCATACCCTGCGCTCCGATGAGGTTCCGAGTCCGAGTCGGACAGAGTGGCCACTGGCGGCAG